TCCGACAAATCATTCTTTCACTGTACATTATTCAGAGTGCATGACGAAGAAAGTGCCAAGTCAATTTATACTTGACAAGGGCTGTTTTTTCAGCAGACTGCTCAGTACAGCAGTACTGTATATACTGTATCCCAATTTGTGTGCTTCCTTCACCATCATGCAGCAGATATATTAACCATGCGTTTTTTCTCCTTCTGTAAATTGGAACCTTGATGACTGCTGAGTTCTGACTATATACAGTACATATCTGCTGTATGGACGATGAGATATCCAATAAGTGAGATATCCAATAGTACTATATATACAGTATAACTATTCATATATACGTTCAACGATGACCTTTTTATGCGATGCAAGGTGTCAAAAGACTGATGTATAATAGCCATTATACTGCTTTGCGTTTCAAATGCTGCTGCATTTACGGTATATGGATTCCTCCTTATTCACAGACAGTACTGTATCAATTTAATAGTTCTTTATTCGGCAGCATGACTCCAGCATCATGCAAGTCTGTACATATATACAGTCCTTCTACATAGACGATATGTCTGCATAGATACTGCTGTATATCTAAGGACGGGAAAAAAGAAAACGAAAAAAAAAGACACGCGCTACTCCAGTAAGACAAACGGTAACTGACCAAAGCTCTCTGTCTCACATCATACGTGCACGCAGTCTTCACCGGAGAGGAATTGTCTGTACCCTTCACCGAGGAAATTGTCTGATGAACGCGAGAAAAGACAGGTCGATGTAGGGGCTCGCTTGTGGCGAACGGTACGGAGGATAAAGAAAGGGAATGAAGGAGCCACATTCCCTCGACCATTCTCCCCCTGGGGCAATTCACGGACTCGGACCCAGCAGCAGCAATAGGTATAGGTGTTGCATAGTGCTTTCAGCCAATCCATCTGTCCGTCTGGGATAGGTTTCATCAGGATGGGAGCTGAATAAGGGCTGTAGTGGAAGAGTCTGCTGTGTGAGATGTGTGCTGTACAGTACAGTATAACATATGATGGACGAGCGCATTGCCAACGTTTGAACTACACGGCATCAGAAACGTAACACATTGTGTTGAGTGTTATTGATATGCGCGACAGTCAAGTCAATGAATTGGCAATAGTAAGTAAGAAAAGTAATTATTTCTCACACGAAGCTTTCATCATCAAGCATTTAATAGTGCAGCAATGCAAATGCGTGATTAGAATATGATCCACGATCGATGCGCATCTTTTCCCTGCCTGCTGTTCACCCCCACGTTTGCTATTAAGCAGCGAGATAAAGCAGATCTGCTTCCATTCCAGGTATTTCGTGTCATATTCTCACGGATGAAGTATGCTGTAGTAGACCTGCGTTGGCTCGAACAATAAATGAACCACCGTTTCTCGCTGGCGCATCCAAAGGCTTGTTACGGTCATGGTTTTTCACCGGACAGCCTGGTCATCCGGACAGGTAAATGCCCATGGGTAGCGGCCATGATGGGCAAGTCGGAGGTTCCGTCCAGCATCCACTGCTAAATGTGTGGCACCTGAGTTTTCTGCGCGAATTGCAATTGAAATGTTATCTCGTCGCAGGGATTGATGTGACGTGCAGTGCAGATGGCTAACAGTGTCGAAGGGGCGGCACTGGACGCAAACAGCTGCTCGCTGCGCCGTCGCGTTACGACAACGAAGGTCTGTGATACGCTGAGTATGTTCTCGCGCGCATGCGTATGGATCGCGGTGTTGGCTTTGGTTACGTCGTGCGCATCCGCCGAATTTGTGCGCGAATTGACTGTGTCAGAAGGAGTTCCGATTGGTACCCGCCTGGGTTTCATTGCTGGGCCCGGGGATGACACGAGCCGAGCACCTTACCTGATCGTGCCGGTGCCTGGCAGTGCGATCGATTCGGATCTGAGCATCGATGAAGCCAGTGGAGAGATACGGACCAAGGTGGTTTTGGATCGTGAATACCGTGCAACCTACTCGTTTGTTGCATTGCCCTCGTCGGGCGACAGTGTCCGAGTGCTCATCCGCATTTTGGATGAGAACGACAATCGACCGACGTTCCCCACCGACGCCGTAGACGTGGAGTTTCCCGAAAGCAGCCCGCTGGATGCCAAACGCACATTAGCGCCAGCCCGTGACAGCGATCTCGGACTGTACAACACGCAGCGTTACGAGATTCTCTCAGGCAACGATAATGACGCGTTCAGGTGAGTTCCTTCGTTCCGGATGTCCCGTCATGTATGACCATTTTCCCTAAAACGAATCCTGACTCGATTCCTTGACTGAGAGCCTGTTTATGCTCAGCGGTTGCTTCTCGTCATCGTCGTTGACTTCCAGAATTCAATGCTCGTGGTTGAAAGCGTCTGTAACTATCTCTGCCTGCTTCTGCGCGGTGCTTTCCAAACCAGTAAGAGCTGTTTTCGTCAATGAACGCAGCACTGTAGTAATCGTCAAGTAAAATAATTTGATTATTGGACTGGTCTTGTGAGTTAGTTGATCTCTGTGCAGCTATGACAAAATCAGATAGCGAAGTGAGAACGGCAAAATTTAAAGTGAGAATTGATGATTTGTTGCTTCGCGGAACGATTGTATGATACCTGGATCGTTTTCTTGACCTTATCTTGAGGAAATACGGCTTTACAATGCGCTTTAATATCTCCACATGGTGTCGTCGTCGAAAGAATCGGCTTTAACTGCAGTATTCTCCGAACTGAATAAGTGCTTTCTCTTATTTCGATCGATGCATAATATTTTTCTAATTCTGCGAATACTGTACAGGTATCAGCAAAAAAAAAAAAACAAACAAAAAAAACGGGATTTTGCATTAGGTTGAGAGATGTCATGCTTTCCACCGGCGGATAATTTCAGGGAGTGAGCACCATCCCAGTCATCCTCAAGCGAAAGGGGATGTTGTCGGTTGAATTCTACAGTACAGTAGTTGCAAACACGTCATAGTGCTGTATTGCTTGAATTCTACCGTTACTGGATGTCGCACTTGTCGGGCTCCAGGTGACTCGAAGCTTCCACGATAGCTCCAATTGTATTGTAAAATTTTAACGTTTTGTACAAACTTGTGCTGTACTTTGAATCATGGGATGTGGCAATTGATAGGTTCGAAGGATGACGGAGCGGGCGTAATATTGGTTGAAAACCGGATGCCCTCCCGCGTCGAGTTGCCGAGAGCCAAGTAGGGAATTTGGTGATGAAGTAAAAGTGAGCATCTTGCCGCGTTAGGTGAAGTCACTACTCGAAGCATTATACAGTATTCTGTTCATCGTAATTCCATGCTTTTTCGAGATCAGGTACAGAGCCGTTTGTCTCGCTACTGGTGCCTCGTTTTAGCTGTCTTTAATTCAAGGCCATTTGAGTAGATTCGAGCGCTGACATGCGAGAGGCATGAAAAGTGCATCACCAGATCGACAGGGAGCTTCTGCGAAAAGAAACACCGGGATGCGGTGCTGGTCGGTGGTTTTCGCGGGAACTCGGCGATCAGAGCGATTCTTTGCTTTTCGTGGAATTCAGTCCCCGATTTCATGCGTTCGTTGATGCCGCTCTGAAATTTTAAACTGAAGGGAATGCAGTACTGTACTGTAAAGTGTAGCGTACCCAAGAGATTAGTACTTACTTCACAATGTTGAACGTGCAATACTTCACTGTATTTCTGCTGCAATTTACAATACAGTACAGTACTGTACTTCACGGTCGTGAGGGGTGCTTCGCGCCTGGTTATTTGATCAAGTCGTGCAGGTATTGAGTGCGATTGGGCGTGTTTGAAACTAGACTGTGATGCTGATGGACCGAACATGCGAAGAATTTGATGGACCTCCGATGGTTTCTCGGTATCCCCGGATGGTTCGTTCGGCTGTGCCCTCCGGTGATCTAATTAGGTGCAATTACCGGTTCTGTCATTGAGCGAAGTGAACGTCCGTGCGCCGCTTTTGCTTGTTCTGTTGACGATGCGCACCTTCCCAATCTCGAGGGAGTCACTCTGCCTGCTCTTGAGAGACGTCGTCCTGACTCGATACAGTACGGTGATAGAATACACTTGATTGTCGAGCCCACTGATGATGACAGAAGCGTTCTTGACTCACTTCACCTCTCTTTGCTGCGGATGCATCAGCTCTCTGATGGCGCCTCGAATTCGCGAAATACTGTATTCAACTTTGCATCATCCTCGCTGGAAAGAAGGGATTTTGTTCGTGGTGTAACTCAAACGAAAAAGAGGACGAGGCTACTAGAGTGGAATGCAGTACAGCACTGTAGTGTGATGTTCATATTATGAGTAAGTACAGTACGATGTAGCACTGTACGGTACTGCATTGCAAGCGCGAGTCCGCCGAACTCGGAGATAATTATGTCGTCATTGCCAGCCGGGTCCGGGATGCTGCGAATTGTATATGAGCGTTGTTTCCACTCGACGCAACTGCAAACAGCAACGAGAATTGCCCAGAGGTGTACTTCTCACGAAGTTTAAGAAAGAAGAAAAAAAAAAAACAGTTACGCTAATTCGATCACACCGTTCATCGATACGCCTGCGCGGTGCTGCCCTCGATATACTGCATGTCTCATGGGATCCTGAAACACGACAGCAGTGGTGTCTCAGACTGCATTTGCCGAATGCCTTGCTTGCTGCGTCTTTTTCTTGATCTGATGCGACATTGCGAGTTTAGACCCTTCGTTTTTGGGAGTGGTTCTAGTATCGAATAGCCCGTATATTTACGAGGTGAAGCTTGAGTCGTGACGGAATGTAAAAGCTGTAACTACGAAGCTAGGCTGGTACAGTTTTCAAGTTTCTGCGCGAAAATTTTCTTTTTCACGAAAGTTAGGTGCAGGCTATTTTTTTTTACTTTTTCGTTTCGAAAATGAAAATTTTTTTCCACAAAAGTTAGGTGCAGGCTATTTTTTTCTTGCTTTTTCTTTCCAAAAATGATGGATCCTTCGTTTTCTACGATTCCGTAATTTTGTTGTTCCTATAAAACACGGGGATTTTGAACGAATTTTTCTTCCTCGTGTGCAAGAATGAACAAAACGCCTGTGATAAATCATCTTCGTCACTCGCCGGATGTGGGTCTACGGTCTTCCTTTGTTGGGTGAAGCGAAAAAACTAACTGAATCTTTTGCAGCTTTTCATGGCCGTGCTTTTTTCCCAAGTTTTGAAAGAAAGAGCTTTTAGATCTTTTTCAAGATGCATCACTTTTTTCATGAATATTTGCAGTTAAATAACTTATTTACGGAGATTTGAAGCAGGATAATGCACAACGCAGGGTTTGCAGAAAACATGATTTTCTTTAATTTCTCCATTATATTATTGTATCGAAGAAAAAATGATGAAACTTTCACTTTTTTCATCCCAGCAATGTCTACTTGAAAATTTTCATCGCATACAAATTCCACAAAAGTTGGGGAATGAGTATCTACCGTTTTCGGAAGCAACCTTTTCCTCCCACTAATTCTCAAAGCTAGATCCATCGTAGAAACGTGAACTGCCTATTTTACATTTGCTGTCGATGGGGGTTTCTGTCACATGCTGTACTGTTTCTGATCGTTCGTAGTCCGTTTTTATTTTCCGAGTCGCCAGCGCTGGGATGATCAGAGCTTTCGAGGCACAGTATTTGTGCTCACTCTACTGTACTACAGTATCACTGTACCGTGCATTTAAAGTCTACCGAACAGTGTAAAGAAAGAGAGTAAGTGAGCTTGTTTCGGATATCGACGTGGGAAGTCCAAATATCCGTGCTCCGATTTTAACGTGCAATACTGTACTGTAATTGTATTCAGATTCCTCTCTGGAAATATGAGCAGCCTGTCTCTTTACTTGAATCGGTTTTTATTCTTGATCGTTCTCGGTTTTGCCTCGACATTTGCGGAGTCATTAAAATTATTGATCATTGGGGTGGTCATACTCCCCGATTACCCTAGTTATCAGGGTTCCGCTCTCCTGAGCAAAACACGATTTAGCTTGATTTCCGCCTACGAATGCCGTGATTGATCTGTTGAATAATACTGAATGTATCTGCCGCCACTGCCAGTTTATACGAACGATTTCGATGATTTATTGTTACCATCACGCCTGAGGCAAGTACTGTACTGTTCTGTGCTGTACATTTAAAAATGCTGATAAACTTGTAGGGCTATCAGTTCGAGATACCCTTTTGACTTTTTGAGGGTAATGAAAAAAGGGATTTTTCGATATCGCAACTGCTCCTCAATAGTCGAGCACTAACACTGCGTGATGCCTGCCTTCGAAGATGAATTGAGAGCTTGGCAATTTTTCACTCTCTCTCTCTCTCTCTCTCTCTCTCTCTTTTATGCGGTATAAAAACAAGGAAGAACGATAATCCGTGGGACCGTGGTAGGCAGTAGTCTCCTCCAGGCACGACTTTTCTCAGTCATGATTTTTTAGAAAACCGTTTGCGTCTGGGCTGACAGGAATAAGGCGTGGAATGAAATCGATTAAAATTTCATTTTCATCGACTGATGTTGGAGCGTCGTGGGTCAAGTTATGGAGGTTCAGCATATCGTCTCTTCCATGTCTCCCTGAAATTTCAGTGAAGCTTCTTGAGGTTTCCTCGAAAATACTGTATACCAATGCTTTATCGGGTTCTCATTTAGTGGATTCATTAGTGAACACAGCACAGCATTCAGTACAGTACTGTATTAAAAATTTCCTAACGAAAATGTTTGTTTCAACGAGTTGTTTTTTCTTTCTCGTGCCGATGAGGAACGAAAATATACCAATTGTCTTCGTTTTCTAGTTTTGTAGAACTGCTAGGGTTCGATTTTTTTTTTCAGGGCTCCAGTACTGTATGTGAACCCAAGTTTTCCTATGCATAAGTAGGGCCCGCTTCCTTCGTTTCACATTATTAGTGTTGATGTGATGTGCCTTTGGCTAAAGATGCATGGCTTCACTGTGAATTAGGACGAAAAGTAGGCCCGTAAAAGAAAAGATTAATAAAAAGAAACGATAAATCAACTAATTCCTTTCGGTTGTGTCTCTCTTTTTTTCGTATCGCAGACTTTCATCGCATCGAGAAAAGGATGGAGTGCTGTACGTGGACCTGCAGGTTAACGGGATGCTCGATCGAGAAACCAAATCCTTCTATGAAATCGTTCTGGCAGCGTTCGACGGTGGTCTACCCCCGTTGAACGGCACGATGACAGTCAATGTGAAGATACAGGACGTGAATGATAATCAGCCGATTTTCAATCAGAGTCGATACTTTGCCACCATTGGCGAAAACGCCACCATCGGAACGTCCGTCTTGCAGGTGAGCCGTCGTGTTTTTTTCCTGTTCACCATTTTCTGAGTCGTTTCTTCCATTTTGATTCCGCAATGCGCACGCATATTTACCGGACGCATGAGACTACTTTCGTAAATGGTGATACAGTACTGTATTTGATTGGAACGGGAAAGTTGGCGAGATTCAGTTATCGCATTCTTGTGACTCGAAATGAGACCTCAGCAACGCAGCAGGCGCATGCGCTTCTGAGTTATGGTATGCAGTATAGTTAGTAACAACCAACCAACCAACCTTTTGCGAAATATGTATGTTGTTGATTATCTCGAAAGTCGGTGGAAAAGGAGCGAGCGAGCGAGCGAGCGAGCGAGCGGGCGGGCGTGCGAGCAATCCTTGAATCAATCGTGTGATGAATATTGAGGAGTGGATTTCATTATTGTTTTCATCTTTTCCTTAGGTCTTTGCGACGGACACCGACACTGGCCCCAATGCGGCCATCACGTACTCGATGAACCGGCGTCACAGCGACCGCGAAGGCATGTTCGCCATCGACGAGCGGACGGGCGTGATCAGCGTGAGCAGGCCACTGGACTTCGAGACCAAGGACGCGCACGAACTGGTGGTGGTGGCGAGGGATAACGGGGCTCAGCCGCTGGAGACGACTGCATTCATCAGCATCCGTGTCCTTGACGTGAATGACAACCAGCCCACCATCAACCTCATCTTCCTCTCGGACGACGCCACTCCCAAGATCAGCGAGGATGCTCAACCCGGGGAATACGTCGCCCGCATTTCCGTCAACGACCCCGACAGTGACATCCAGCATCAGCAGCCAACACCGGCCGTGTCCTCGTCCAGCAGTGGGGATGCCGTCGACCCGAAGACCTTTGGCGGTGGAGAGTCTGGTAGTGCTGGTCAGACACCACCTTCACCATCGCAACAACAACAGCAGCAGCAGCAGTTATCCCAGCAGCAGCAGTTACAGGCATCCTCTGTCGAGACATCCAACGTCGTCCTTAAACAGCTGGATAACATGAAGGTGGGTGGATTGAAATTGCACGGCAGGCTTATTTTTGTGCGCGGAAGAATGATGGGTTTCACAATGATGATAACGACGATTTTCTTCCCGTTTCAACAGGTGAATGTGACGCTGGAAGGCGGGGATGGACACTTTGGGCTGACGACGCAGGATAACATCATCTACCTGGTGATCGTTTCGAAGCCGCTGGATCGGGAGTTGAAGCCCAACTACACGTTGGTGGTGACGGCAACAGACCAGGGCAGTCCCCCGCTGCACGCGTCACGCAGCTTCCAACTCCGCGTCACAGACATGAATGATAATGCGCCCGAGTTTGCGGAGACGCTGTACTACGCCTCGGTCCTCGAGGTGGCTGATCCGGGCACGTCGGTGTTTCAGCTCACAGCCTCGGATCGGGACCAGGGCCGCAACTCGGTGGTGCACTACTCGATCCTGTCGGAGGGCAGTGCTGATGGCAACAGTAGCCGGGGTGCCCATTCCAACTGGTTCCACATCCACCCGCGAACAGGGCTCATCACGACGAGGACTCACATTGACTGCGAGACGGACCCGATTCCGAGCATCACGGTCATGGCAGTGGACGGTGGTGACCCGCCCTTGTCTTCCTCCACCACCGTACTCATCACCATCCGCGATGTCAACGACAACGAGCCGATCTTTGACCAGAGTTTCTACAATGTGTCGGTCAAGGAGAACCAACCGGTCGGAACCTGCATTCTCCAAGTGAGATTCTGTTCTTTTTGCTTTGAACATGCAACCAGCCATGTTCTTGTAATGTTATTCAATAGTGAATACACTAAAAGGTCGGATCAGTGAGCCACCTTTTGCAGTATTCATATTCGCCGATTTATGCCATAAATGTATACAATACTGTACTCCGGATCTCTCCTGCAATTGTTGAGAGGGATACATTTTCTGACCCAACCCCCACATCACGGACATGATTATATGTGGATAAATACTGCATGTTCATGCAGTACATAATGGACTTGATCGTGTATAATCAAGTGATGATCGCTCATAAAATGCAGTATTGTGCTTCAAGGATGTTTTCGAGTGTAAGATTGGGAGACCGATACAAGGGATAATTTCGAACCAAATTTTGTATTCTTTTGCAGGTATCTGCTTCAGATCCGGACTGTGGCGTGAACGCAATGGTGAACTACACCATCGGAATGGAGCGAGGATTTGGCAAGTTCCCTGAGTTCTCCATCGAACCAACGAATGGACAAGTTTGCTTGGCGGGCAACCTAGATCGTGAAGTGCGGCATACGTACGAGTTTCCGATCGTCGCAACTGACCGAGGTGATAGATCGCATATTTTTTATGTTTTTCATTTGTCTTTTTTTTTATTTGTAGGATTCATTTGATTTGTGTAAATTTTCGATCGAATGTTCTTCGATGAAGTTTCCGGGATTATTTGTAACCCCGAAGGGAGAATCCGTCGAGCCAAATGTCCAGATTCAAGCTCGCCTGCTTTTGATTTTGTTTTTGCTATTCAATAATGTTGATTGCCGTCCATTGAGTTGTTGTCTCTCTGGGTATTGAAGCCTTTCGCTGAGAATTTTCTCCCAACTAGCTTGCTATTTCGTGATAAATTTGGGAAAGCGTCCAAAAAGAAAAGAAAAGAAAAAGAAGAATTCACGAGTAGGCGAACATATTCCAGCACAATCAATGGATATTTTCAAGCTTACCAGTTGCAACTGAATACCCCGAGATAGAGTACTGATACGATTATCCGTCGTCTTTGTCTAGTGTCGCGCCGACGATGTAAATTTTTGTTGCATTTGCCCGCAGGGGGACTGAGCACGACGGCCATGGTAAAAGTGCAAGTGGAGGACGTGAATGACAATGCACCGGTGTTCTACCCGCGGGAGTACAACGTGAGTCTTAGAGAGGGCACGGCCCCGCACACGCCGGTAGTCGTGGTCGTCGCCTCAGACCCTGACTCCGGCCAGTTCGGGGCTATCCGCTACCGCATTCAAGGAGATGATCACGACGGTCTCTTTCGCGTTCACGACACCACTGGCGAGGTGAGCACCTTATTCTCCACCAATCGTATTTTTTTTTTTATGATGTGCCTTGTGCGCACAGACAGTGCTGCAACCTTTTTTTCTGTCTCGAGTGTATTCTTGAGAGAAGTTCCTTCCGAAGGTCTGCTTGAAGTTCTAATAAGGATTACGGTAGTTTAATACTGTTTATGCTGATGCACGATAATATTGGTTTTTCTTTCATTCTTGTTGCCTTGGCGAACGCGCGCGCGCAGGGACTAGTGCTGAATTCCTCACAATGGCAAACAAAAAACTTTGCCGGATGAAAAGCTGTATTTAGATTCATGATCAGGAATGAAGATGCTGTATAAAGTAGCTGAACTGTAAATAGATCTCTCAGACTTTCTTTCAATGCTCTCTTTTGCAAAAAAAAAAAACCATAATTTTTTCGTTCGTCAGTGTGCGAACAGGTTTGGATTGGTCAACGGTGGGTGCGTGATCCGAAATCTCGTCAGCCCACTTTTGTTTGATTTTGACCTAGCCGAACAGGCGGAAAAGAATCATGGCGCTAAATTTTATCGTGGGCATAATATCTCGTTCTTGGTTTCATTGCTGTTCTGCATCAGGAAAGTGAAAACAGTTGAAAACATTTTCAATTCCTTTTAAAATCTGAGACTCATCCACAGCTGTTATGATTCTCGAGTATGACTTGATTTTTGGAGTAAAGCCAAACAAATGTAATTTTATCGATTTCTGAAAGCCTAAACTGCCTAATTCATGACAGTTGATTTACATGGTACGAGGCTGCAAATGTCATCGTTCGCGCCAACTTTACGAACGCCGAGTGTTGCCTGATGAAAGCTGATCGTTCCTGAGCAATGAAAGAAATTGCTGAAAGAGACGGTTTCTCGGTTTCTCAACGATTCTTTTTTTCAACTTTTCACAGGTGTTCCTGACGGGTGGCGGAGAGGCTTTGCGGCGACTAGCGCGCACCGAAGAAGGTATCCGCCTGAACGTGTCCGCCACGGATGGTGGCGGGCTCAGCGCCACGCTTCCCGCCCAAGTCACCCTGTCCATCATCGGGCCGAATCAGAAACCACCCGTGTTTCGTCAACCGCGCTATTCTTTCGAAGTGCCAGAGGATGTCTCGATCGGGACTCAAGTTGGCTCCGTCGCAGCCACAGCGTCCAATACAGGTGCGTGGCCTTTTAAATTACAGACTCGAATATTGTGCAGAGACCGTCTGAAACCTTTCGTGAGCATGTAGACTGATCTTTGGGGCCGGATGTCTCTGGAGAGAATCTGATCTTCCAGATTGAATTACTGAATTTGTTTTCCCGATATGCTGCACCAAATTGTAGAGAAGGGGATTTTGACTGAGCCAGGTTCCATAGTCTTTCGAATAAACATACTTTACCTGCACATATGACGATTTTTAAATGCATTAGCATTCCGAGAAGAGTTTGAAACGAGTTGCTTCGAGTAGGAAAGATGTGGAGAAATCCGTCCTTCATATTTTTCTTCTTCGGAAAATTCGATGGTAATCCCGAACAATACACTCGCGCCACGTGACTTTCAACTCGCTCTTTTGTTGCGTAGTGAGCAGTTTGAGAAAATAAACAAGGAATTCCTTGTGGGATTGACTTTAATTCCCAACTCACGCAGAACTTTTTAATCCTTTTGAATCTGAAGAAAAAGTCAAGTCCACTTGTAACTCGATCAGTTCCGGTATTGCTCTTCAAAAGTGGCTGTGAATGCACTTCATTGTGAGGGTTGTAACAGCATTGATTCTGCTTTTGTTTCGTTCGTTCGTGAAACTGTACTACGACCGCTACTAATGAGATTGCACGCAATAGGGCACGGATCGGTGCGGTATTCCGTGTACAACGGTGACCCCAACGGCTATTTTACCGTTGACCCGGTGTCTGGGATGATCTCAACCAAGTCGCGATTGGACCACGAAACGCAACCGTTTGTTCTTCTCAACATTCAGGCAGCTTCCGGAAATCCGTCGTCTTACGGTCACACACAGGTGCGTGGCAGCCTTCGTTTTGTACCTTCTTTTCCGCTCTTTCATCACATTGAATCACGTGGTGATCTCATAACAACTTTCGGATGTGCGTCTTTATGTCTTCCAGTGGCGCACGAAAATCCTCGGTTAGACGCTCCTCGTAAATTTATTTTGTCTTTCAAAACATTGGTTGTTACTGTGGTTGCGTTTGAAATGTTCATGTGTTTGCGTTGGGAAATTGTGACGCTTTCATGTGCCATTGAAGACTTGCGTAGTATTTAATACTTAATGGGATGCCGACGTGTTTCGCAGGTGAACATCACTATTGGGGACGTGAACGACAATTCGCCCGAGTTTGACGGAGTGTCGGTGAGGATTTCGGTGCCGGAGGATGCGGACACGACATCTCGGACAGCCCTGTATGCAGTGCATGCGCAGGATGCGGACGATGGTGCCAATGGACGAGTGCGCTACAAGCTGGTGGACGGGAAGCCGAGCTACGGGCTCGAAGCCTTTCGAGTTGACCCCGAATCGGGTGTCGTGACGCTCGTTCGCCCCCTCGATCACGAAGTCCAGGCGCGCTACGATCTCTCTGTCCTCGCCACGGATTTGGGTGTCCCTCCATTGTCGGCGTACCTGCAGCTTCGCATCGACGTCCAGGATGTCAACGACAACGGGCCAGTTTTTAAGCAGGTGAGTACAAGAGTTGCGACTCTTTGTTTGCCTTACGGACACGCCGTACCATTGCCAGTTTGCCTGCCCTTCACCCGGTGAACCAAGGCAATCATGAACGTAAAAATCACTCTTTAGTTTGCATCTTTAGGAAGCGAAAGTGTATTTGTTCAAGAAATCTTGAATGCACGTTTCGTGATGGAACTGTATCATGGAATAACACGTGTGTGTGTTTGATTTCTTTTTCGGACGACAGACTCGGTACGAAGTGAGCGTGCCTGAAGGACTCGCGATGAATGCACACGTGGTGCAGGTAGAGGCAGAAGACGAGGACAGCGGCAACAACGCACGGATGACTTATTCCATCGTCCAATCGCAGCACCCGCGCACCTTTGGGGTTTTCCCGAATTCGGGGATAGTGTACCTCGTCGGAGAGTTGGATCGGGAGAACGAGACGAGCTATGAAATCACGGTATTGGCAACTGACAACGGGTCGCCTGAACGATCCAGTTCCGTCGTGGTGGCCGTGACTGTGACGGACGTGAACGACAATGCCCCGCACTTTGCCCAGGACGTCTACCAGTTCACGGTGGAAGAAGGACGAAAGGCTGGGACTCTGGTGGGCTCCGTGTCCGCCGTCGACCCGGATTCTGGCCCGAATGCCACTCTCACTTACGTACTGCTCCATTCCAATCGCACGTTCGTCATCAATTCCCGCACTGGTGAGTGAGCAGCTACTCTGTGACACTTTCCCTCTTGGGTGTGCAGACTGCGAAGTGCTGAAGAAAGAAGCTGGAATGAATCATAGGATGGCTTTTTCTGTTCCGTTTTTTGGTTTGTTTAGACGGCTCAAATGTTTCAAAGTATTTTGGTACTCATGGAGAGTTCATTGCGGATCCTTCATGCTTCCCTTACGGTTCGCAGGTTCTGACCAGTAACCGCTTTCAATAAAAAAGAAACCATAGATAAGATCCAGAAATCTTGCATGCTTTTCAAAATTTCAAGGTAGCATGGATCATTTCTGATGAAAAAGCCTTCGTAATCTGTAAAGCAGTAGAATCATGTTACAGTACAACGAAGTGTTCGGGACCTTGAGACGCTTCGTTATGAACATTATGAATTCATTACTGTATAACGATCTAACAATATAAAAATTCTGTATAATTATTTATAAGTAACAGCGTAACTATTCGAGAGGGAAATAATTTATTGTGACTTATGAGCAATAATTCGTTTGAAGGAGATTTGTTGTGACGAGATTCTGAAAATGATGAAATACTGAAGAACACACTTTTTTGCTGTTGAAGTTTTGCACCCCTGATCTTCATCCTGTTGAAAAAGAGATCGAATTCAGTTTTTTACGAGTCCAGGCGAATTGGACAAGAAGTAAATCTTCGACAAACATGTGTTGAACGTCTAATCCTTTCATTGAAGACCTTACTCGCACTTGGCTTTCAAAATGCAGTATAATTTTTCGGTTGGTTGGTCTAAGTTCTTTTACACTATTCATTTCCTGTAAAATACCGTAAGTCTGCGGGTTGAAAGTGCTGTTCAAAATATACAATACTCTATTACTGTTCTCTATAGATAGGGTGTGTAGAACTTCTGGGTGGATATAATCTGAAGGTGGTACAGTGTATGTACTGTATTTCCTTTTATAGTATCTTGATATGCGCTTTTATTGTTCATTCGCAGGACAATTGTCGTTGGGACTGCCGTTGGACCGAGAACGACAGCCTGTTTACGAGATCCAGGTGGAGGCGCGGGACCAGGGTTCTCCACCCTTGTTCTCGCGCACGACTGTTCGCGTGCTCGTCACCGACATCAACGATCACGCGCCCGAATTCCTGGGCTTGAGTGCCATGACTGCGCAAAATCCCACGAGTCGCGGTGACCGTCGACGTCTGGAGGTGTCCATCCGAGAGCAACAGCCCATTGGCACTCAGGTCACCCGTATTCAGGCCATTGACCGAGACGAAGGCCCGAACGCCACGATTTCCTTCCGCTTGAAGCCGGGGGACGCGGAATTCGGAGGCTCAATCGTCAAAGGTGCACTGGACGTTTTCGAGATTGACGCCGAGACGGGGGTTGTGCGGACAAGGAAGGTGCTGTCCCACGCGGGCAACGACGGGTTCCGCCTCCTCGTCGAGGTGTCGGACGCGGGCAAGAAGCCGCTGTCGTCGTCTCTGGAACTCGTGGTGACAGTGTTGGACCTCAACGACGAGACACCGACGTCACCCGCGTCGTCGCTGCATTTCGAAGTTGCTGAAGACGTGGCCATCGGCTCGACCGTGGGCTTCGTCGGAGTGAGCGGTGGCCCGGACGCGGTCGCCATCGTCAGTGGCAACGAAGACGGCCACTTCGTTGTGGAACCCGCGACCGGGATGCTGCTCACGGCCCGCACCCTGGACCGCGAACTTCGAGCCGAGTTTCTTCTCGATGTTGTGGGTGTGAGTGATCAAGTCCGTGGCGGCGCCCGTCGCAACTCTGTCCGCGTTCAAATCCTCATTGCCGATGTCAACGATAATGCGCCGGTGTTCGACCGAGACCCGGTCGTGTTGCGAGTGAGTGAAAGTGCCGGCGTCGGCACGGTCGTGGGAAACGTGACTGCGGAAGATGCGGACGACGGACCGAATGGCGAAGTCGAGTACGTCTTGTTGGCCCAGTGGCCCGCGGACCGATTCGCCATTGACGCGGCGACTGGCCGTGTGACAGTGCGGGAACTGGTGGACTATGAGCTTGTTGCCGAATACACGCTCGTCGTTGAGGCCCGGGACAAGGCCCGAAACCCCGGCAAGCGCCTGCGCGCCTCACAGACTGTTCGAATCCTCGTGACCGACGCCAACGACCACGCTCCGGCCTTCCTCGAGCCGGTCGACAGCGTGGCTGTGCTCGAAGACGAACCCGTGGGATTCCCGCTCATTCATTTCCGAGCCGTGGACGGCGACGCCGGCGAAAACGGGCATCTGCGCTTCAGCATCGCGTCCGGAAACTCCAACGGCGCCTTCCGAATCGATGCCGAGACGGGGCTCCTGTGGCTGGACGCGGAGCTGGACCGAGAAACCGTGCCTGTGTACTCCCTGAACGTTACGACGACGGACGGGACGTGGACCGCGAGTCACTCGCTGACTGTGGAAGTCCTGGATGTGAATGACAATCGGCCGCAATTTACGCGTCGGCGATTCTTTGCCAACATTTCCGAGGATGCTCCCGTGGGCACGTTTGTGTTCCGAGTCGAGGCGCACGACGTGGACCAAGGCGAGAACGGCAACCTGACGTTCGTGCTGCCTGAGGGACTGCCGGAGTCTGCGTCGTTTCGGATCAACGGGAAGTCGGGCGAGATCTTCACGGGTGAGCCCATGGATCGGGAGGTGCGTGCCGTCACCGAACTGACCGTGTTTGTGCGCGATGGCGGGAACCCGCCGTTGTTTGACGTGGCCACCGTCGTCGTGTCCCTGCTCGACATCAACGACAACGTTCCGACGTTCACGGCCAGTTCCTGCGGGCAACTCCACGTGCCCGAGAACTCGGCGCCGGCCGTCGTGCACACCGTGCTGGCCGTGGACGCGGACTCGGGCGCCAGGAACGGACTCGTGACGTACTCCATCACGGGCGGGAACGAGGGCAAGGAGTTCCGGATGGACGCCGCCACGGGCAAGTTGAGCGTGGGCGGACTCGACCGCGAGACTCGACAGAGATACCGACTGGAGATCACTGCGCGGGACGGCGGGTCCCCGTCCCTGGCCGCCACTTGCAACCTCACCGTCCACGTGTTGGACGAGAACGACAACGACCCCGTGTTCCCGCAGCCGCGCTACCATGCCACCTTGCCCGAGGACGCGATGCCCGGCTCGTCAGTCATCCACATCCGTGCCTCGGACCTGGACGCGGGCCTCAACTCGCGCATCACCTACTCCTTCACCAACGAGACCCATTGGCTCTTCGCCATCCACAACGAGTCCGGTCTCATCACGACGGCGGGGTGAGTGCACATGCAACAGTACAATACGTACAGTACAGTAGATGTCGAGAAGGTGTCATCTCATTTCATCGTGTCTTATTCATTCAATCAACAAAGAAAAAAAACCGTGGAAGGAGGGGTGTAAGGTGTAATTAATTATTCATCAAAGAACAAATACAGTGCTGTATGCAGTTTTGTACAAACGTACGCCAAATAATGATAGTAATAAAATAATAATAATAATAATACAGTCAAACCCCGTTAAACTGCCCCCCGATAAACCGCCACCCTCACTCAACGCCAAAATTTCATCTGAAACAAATCGGCCTAATGCTAAATGGATGGGGAAACCTCGATAGACCGCCATCTGCCATCTCACCCATCTGCCAAGGTTTTTCTTGTAACAAATCGCCTACAGCCTTTAATTTTTCCCTCCGCAAACCTCCAATGATTTCTCCCAGCAAAATCATTCAAAGCCAGTCCAACTGACCACCAATTTGACCAACCACCCAAAAAACTATTACACAGTATTCACAGCAGAATTACATGAGATAATATTTGTCTGGTCCTCAGACCCTGCAATTTTTTCATCCCCAGCTGCTGGATAAAATAGCTGTGTCCTTCTTCAGATAAATATTGACCCTAAAATGTCCAACTTCCTCAATTTACATACATTTACTGGTCTTCATAAAAAAAAGGTTGCCCTGACAAAAAGAGATCTAGTATGCTATAGAAAGGTATAAAATCATGGGACAATTTAAAACCCCCCTCACACAAAGGCCAAGCTAGTCAACAGTGTGACTGGAGCAGACATATACATCAGCCCTTCAATTTTTTGCTCGTGACTGCTGCTAAATGGAACCGATTTCTGAAAATGAGTACTCAGATGGAACTGTTTTTCCCATCAATGGGTGCATTTTTTCCTCATTTACCAGTGGGTCAAACCCTTTTTACTGCTGGGCTTTGGTTTGGGTTTTTGGCTTGGCAGGAAGGAGGTAGGCAATTGGGGTTGCCACTTGGTGGTACCCTGATAAACCGCCACCCCTGTTAAACCGCCAAAATTGTCCTGAAAAAATTTGGCGGTTTAACGAGGTTTGACTCAGTAGTAATAATATAATACGGATACAGTAATAAATATTGCCGTACAGCACTTTGATACTGCACCGGAAATCTTTTTTTTTCGTCTCCTTCCGATGATATTTCCGTCCACTGAAATTGACGAAGGTGAGACACAGTCTGAATTGCAAGTTTTGTCTGGGATTAGGAATGTTCGTGGCGCGTTAAGAATTTCCCGTTTGTCTTTTACAATTACAAATCATTGTTCCATTTTCGTGCGAGCAACGAAATGGGTATATTTTTTGTTCTTCCATTTTTGGGGCCTGTGCTGGCCGATGGCTGTGTGAGTACCCAGCTGTGCAATTATTGGGACGATGAGAATACAGGTGGTACCTCGCAATTCGACCCTAATCCGTTGCTGGACTAGGGTCGAATTGCGAGGCACCTGGTAAAATTTAGATTGGTGATATGAGCTCAAAAGTAAAATTGGGAAATATGAGCACAATACTTGAGAAAAAAAGACCAAAGCAGGTCGAATTCCGGGGTAGAGGTTGAATTGAAAGTCGACCTCCCTGCAAATTCGACCGTCGAATTGCGGGAGGTCGAATTGCAAGATACAACCTGTACTGTATTGAGATACTGTAGATGGGGATTGAGTTTCCCCGAGCACTCTTCTCTCCGAGCATAGCCTCGTTTTGTTCGTCATCGTAATGGAATGCTCACCGCTTTCTGTCAGTCATTGTTCTGAAAGAGTAAAAGTCTTTGACCGAACACGGTCGCTTCAATATCTGGAGCAACTGATGACCCGTTCCAATCAAGTTTTACGAGTGTGGTACCTGTGATGGAGGCCTGTCAGGTGTCTACTAAATGTTGAGAATAATTTTCACTTTCGACCGAGTATCTATGAAGATGAAGGAATGAATATGCACTACTGTACTGTCCCTTTGGGGGGAAAAACGTCCGATTCCACGATCGCTGTTACCGCCAAGTACAGTATCTACTGTAATTTCCACTGGTCTCTGATTACATTGAGCAGAATAGAATCTCGTCTCTCAGCGTAGCAAGATCTGAAAAATGGTGGAAGAATTCCGAGTGTTTTTCATTGTCATATTTTATAGTGGGGGGATCCTTTTCATCGGTCATTCCAGGAGGTGGCCGAAACTATTTCCCGTTTAGGTCATCGAATTATGTTCAGCAAACGCTTTGGGGTACAGTACTGTATACTGTACTCATTGTTGGTGATTCAGCACAATTGCAGGCATTCTTGAATTTTTTTTTAGATGATTGTTTTCAACATCTCATTTGTGGTTCAATAAGGTAGGTATTATCGAACAACTGTATGAATCAGATGACTTGGTTTGCACACACGACACGCGTCACATTGGCTCTGGGTGTATGCATGTTAAAAGAACTGATTTCGTTTCGACGGAAGTTTCCCGGAAGAAGATCGATTGTCCTCACTTTTTACAATGTCAGAAACTTATTGCGACATTCAGGCCAAAAATGCATAAACAGCAATATCAATAAATCAATGTGATCTCGTAATATAACGTTGTGAGGAACTTGAATCACTTGTGTTCCGAATTACCGTATCATTTCCTGGTCTTGCTCGAATTTAGGACATCCGAAATTTCACTGAAATGTTTGGAAGCAGAGACACGATGATTTTCTGGAAACATATTTTTTCATATGTTTTGGAAAATTGTTGATAAAATGAAGAACATTTTTTCAAGGCTCAATAAACATGAGACGTGATCTGCAGAAACAAGCATATTCGTGAGAATGAAAGAAAAGAAATTACGTATACAACGACTGGAAGAATCGGTTTTTAACATTTCTGTGTGGTTTTGGTTGCTTTCAAGTTTTAAGTCGCTGGGGAAATTTCTGAGGAGTCCTAATGTTTGTCTCCCATTAAAAAAATTGAAAATAATCCGATTCCTACGCCACTACTCGAGGAGCCCTCATAATAAAAATAATCATAATGAACGTTCATGAATTTTTTTTTTCGTGGCGATGACAGGGCTTTCGACCGGGAGAAGCAGGGCGTTTATTCGTTTCATGTGCGTGCGACTGATGCGGGCCAGTACAATGCTCGGTGGGAAGAGGTGGAGGTGCAGGTGACGATTTCGGACGTGAATGACCACGCGCCCGAGTTCACCGAGTACCCGTTCAGCGCGCAGATCCAGTCCAACGTGGAAATCGGACAGCAACTCGTCCGAGTAGCCACTCACGATCCTGATGACGGAGTCAACTCACTCGTCACCTACAGGTGAGTGTGCTTTTCCCTCTTGTGTTGTGTGACACCACCCACACGCATTTGTCTCTGTCTGTCTTGCGCAGGTTGGCCAGCAAGAGCCCGCTATTTGACATCGAGCCGGACACGGGCGTGATACGGGCTGCGTCTAGTTTACGCAGTGAGTCGGGCAAGTTGTTTCAGCTGGAAGTAATTGCAGTGGACGGAGGGAACCCGTCCAACTCGGCGACCGGACTAGTCGAGGTGCGTGTGGTCGGATCCGCCGTGGAAGAGGCGGTGGCCCGGTCTCGCTCGCCGACCATCCGATTCACGTCGCCGTCCTACGAAGTCAGTCTGGACGAGAATGCCGTTCCGGGACGTGAGGTGGTTCAGGTCTCTGCTGTCCGATCCGATGGCCGTCGCCAGCGCATCACGTACCGTTTCGGGCGTGGCAACGAAAACAACGCCTTTGAAATCAACGCCAACAACGGGCTCATCCGAGTCCGGGATTCCGAGTTGCTCGACCACGAATTGGATCCGGAAATAAGGTATGTGTAGTCATTTGCTGTGTGCGTCGGGGGAGGGAAAAAAGGCCGGACATTGAAATTGACGCTTTTGCTTTTTTCACTTAGTTATTTTGCCGTGTATACAAATTGTGTTCTTTTCCAATCCCGCCTGTTTCTGTCGAATCAGATTAATAGTGATGGCGCGGACTGATGGAGAGGACCCAGTGTTTGGCTACGTGGCCGTGACGGTGCGACTCGAAGACGTGAATGACAACACGCCGCGGTTCACGCAGAATGATTACTCGGCGGTGGTGTGGGAGGGCCACGCCAAGGGAGCGTTCGTGACGCGGATCCTGGCGACGGACCGTGACTTTGGCCAAAACGCGCGCTTGTCCTATCACATCGTGGATGGCAACCAGGACAATGCGTTTCTCATCGAGCCGCCGTATTCCGGCGAGGTGAAGACCAACATCGTGCTTGACCGTGAGATCCGCGACTCCTACCTCCTGACTGTCATCGCGACGGACGAAGGAAGCCCGCAGCGAACGGGCACCTGCACCCTCAAAGTATGTCTGTCCTCTTGCTTCTCCTCATTATTCTCTTCCTCCGTCTCCTTTTTTTTTTCATGTCATGGTGTTCGGGCAAGAACTGAGGGCGGGAGAACCACAATTTATTTCTTCTTTCATTTTTTTTTCTTGCTCATTTGAAAATGTGTTGATTTCGCACAGGTGAATATTGTTGATGTGAACGACAATCAACCGACATTCCCGCCAACCTCGCTTGTATCAATCTCGGAGGGGGCCCAAGTCGGTACCGTGGTCATGACCGTCACTGCGAACGATGTTGATACTAGCCCCACCTTGACGTACACTTTCGTGGAGTCGGAGGAAGAGGCAGCCAGGGGCGACGTGGAAACGTTCTCCTTGGACCGTTTCACTGGTCGATTGCTCCTAGTCCGTGCGTTGGACTTCGAGTTGAAGCAGTCGTACCAGTTGCAGATATCCGCCTCTGATTCCGTCAACACCGCGACGACGATTCTCACCGTCCAAGTGCAAGACGACAACGACAATCCGCCGCAGTTCCTCGCTCTGGCATACATGGCTTCTATCTCGAGTACGGATGACCCAATTTTGTTTTCTCTCCTTTAGACAATGATAAATCGATCACGTATTGTGTGCTTTATTTGGATGCCAGCTTGTGGGTAGATTCAGGTCAAAACTTACCCTACTCCTCATCTGTGGAGTTTATGTTATTGTTCACTAGAGCGGTCGCGAACATTTCATTTATTTTTCCACGGTGCACTGAAGTTCATTGCAATACATTACTTGACTTAATGTGCAGTGAATACGAAACCCGGAACATCCATCGCTCAAGCGAGTGCAACGGACCGAGATGCCGGAGAGAACGGGAGGATCAGGTACAGTCTTAAGCGGAATCGGTGGTCAGACATGTTCCACATCGACCGGGACACGGGCACGCTGTACGTGAACAAGACTCTCAGTCGCGGTGCGAAGCCGCAGTCCCGTTCCGCCATGCCACGGACCCCGTTGCCGTCCATCATGCGACTCATAGTTGTGGCCAACGACGGCGGCCGGCCGACTCTGTCAGCCGCCGTTCCCGTCCACGTCGTCATCAAACGTGCCTTTGCCGGAGTCGGCAAGCTCTCATTCCCCAAGAAGACCTACTCGCTGGAAGTGGAGGAAAACACGCCCAAGGGCTCGATTCTTATGATGCTCGAGGTGGGAGAGTCGCATTCCCTTGGACTCAACACGGATCTCTGCTGCATCCACTATTGGCTCAACAATTCCTCCTCCGTCATGGACACGTTCCAGATCATGAGGTAAAATCCCCGTCCCAATGTTTTTTTTCTTCTTATTTTGCCGTGCGAGTGAATCCTGATGCTTCCAAGCGTGGATGCTGCACAAACGGGACACCATACTCTACTCCAAAACCAGAGTTGAACTTTTAAAATTCTGAAAACTGCAAATACAGTACAGTACTGTAGTATAATTTCCACCTGTCCTGTGAGTAGCCCTCAACATGTAATTGAATAGAAAACGAGGCGGGCACATTTTTGTAGACTTGTACTCATTTCAGCAGTGATATATTTTGATGCTTCAGTTGATAACCGGAACCTTTCAAAAGCTGCTCAGATTCATGTGCATGCATTCACCTTCCGTAATTGATAAAAGCTGTCCAACGAAAATTTACTGCTGGATTTTCATCACAAAGATAGCTGAGTGAAAACATACGCTCAGAAATACTGTAAGTTTCCACTCATCCTCATGTTCACTGAGGGCTGTCGTAACATTGCCTCGTTCAAATCGGAAACTTAATCGGAGAAATATTAGAAAGAATAGGTTCTCTGCATGTTTCCGATTAAATTCTGTTTTCATCCCTGAATTCGTACATCTACCAGATGAAAGTAACATTTGCTGAAAAAAACCAACTCCGCACTGAATCATCGCTGATTCAGTTTTTGGGTCGCTTTTTTAAAAATCTGGACTTAGATAATTGAATGGATAAATGCTGAGAATCAACCGCGTGAATCATTTTTCTGCGCTCAGTAATTTTTGATTGATTTTCGTGACATTTTTAAGAGGAGAGAACATCACATCTTGATGTCTAGCAAGATATCGGACCTCTAATTTTTGGGCGATTTTTATTAATTTTTTTGCAACCACACAGCACAGCAGACGAATAAGAGATGTAGAAATATGTTGTATCTAGGCCTGTGGGAGCTCTCCGCCCTCTCATGTTCACTGCGCATGATTGTCATTGAACATTGTTCGGGAATCGAGCAGTGAGGTGTTTCAAGACCAAATCGATTTTTTTGCACTTCGGTGATTCACCAATTGTTTGAATGGCGAATCCGATCCTCTGTACTGACTGTACTGTATTCGGTTTATAGCTCGAGTGGGGAGTTGGTCCTGCTCAAGGACTTGGACCGAGAGGCGCAGCAGAACTACAGCATCGTTGTGTCCGCCTGCGACCGTCGATACCCGGACGACACGGCCTCGACGCGGGTCACCATAAGCGTGAAAGACGTGAACGACTCCCCGCCGACTTTCGCCCACAGTGCCGTGAACGTGTCCGTACCGGAATCAATGGCAGAGGGCGCGTTGGTCGCCAAGCTGTCCGCCATCGACGCGGATTCGGGCAGTTTCGGGCTGGTATTCTACGACATTCTGAGTGGGAATGACGTCGGGCTTTTCCGCATTGACAACCGAACCGGGGAGGTGTACCTCAACGGGAAACTCGATTTTGAGACGGAAACGCAGCATCGGTTGGTTGTACGAGCCCGCGACGGGAAGAACGGGACGCGGGCCTCACTGTCCACCCTGACAATCGCTGTCGAGGACGAAAACGAGTTTGGACCCGAATTTCCCACCAAGGTTTGTTGAATGACGATCGGTTGATTGATTGATTTTGACGCTGAATCTTTTCTGAGTCGAAGAGTTTCCGCGTGCGTGAATTAGTTATTCCCTACCCTGATGAAGCAGTATGGGTTTTGCAACGGTTCAGACTACTGTGCCCGCCAGTATGCGCATGCGGTGTATCGATCCGAAGTTGATCTAATTTTTCCAATGCAGTACTGTACATTACTTGCCTACGGATCTTTAGCTAAGCGCGACCAAAAAGCTCGCCAATTTATCTCTGTTGAAGCGCTCTGAAACCAAAAAAATACAAGTTTTGAAATATTTTTAAGGCACTATTACCGCGTCAAATTTTGAAGAAAATGCTTCCGCAATTTTCGCGTCAATTATCGCACAGTGTGAATGGCGTATTAATGACATTTTTGGCTTACAGATCTTCCACGCATTCCTGGCGGAAAACGCTCGTCCAGGCTCAGAAGTGACGCAGCTCCGCGCCGTGGACGGTGACACTGGGCAGTACGGGAAATTGAACTACTCCCTAGCAGAATCTAACTCGTGGGACTCCAACTGGTTCACGATTCAACCGGAAAGTGGCGCTATTTACAGTCAGAAAGTGATGGATTACGAAGACGGACGTTTGTACACGCTGGTTGTCACTGCGATGGACCCAACCGGTGCTTCGGCTTCTGCCAAAGTCGTCGTTCACGTGGAAAGCCGAGACGAGTATCCACCCGAATTCATTCAAGATCACTACGCATTCGCTGCTCCCGCCGAGATCCCGGCGGGGTATGTTATAGGACAAGTCCAAGCGACGGACCAGGACAAGGGCGTGGATGGAGTGGTCATCTACGATGTAGATTCCCAGCTGGATTCAGGATTCGGAGTGAATGTCACGACCGGTGCAATTGTCTCCAAGCGGTCCATGTCTCTTCCCGACGGCTCCGAAGTGAAGATGCGGGTCATCGCGTCTTCAGGTGAGTCATTTCTAGTCCCCTCCCCCGATTAGTGGAAGAAGCGAGCCAACGATCGATTGGTTTCAAATGAGAAACTATCAGAGTTGACTGTGAATTTTGCTCTTTGCAGGTCAAGCCGGATCGCTCAAGGGCCACGCGACAGTGAACGTGAAAGTTGACAAGAACCTGAGTGTTGTTGGTCTAAGTTCCAAGGCCGACGCGGCTCTCGAGGCTGCACTGGCCCCCTGGGCTTTGGCTCTGGTCATTATTCTCGCCCTGGTGGCATCGATCTTGTTCGCTGCGATTCTGATCCTGCGCATCCGGTCCGGCGCGCGGAAGAGACACAAGCCGCAGGGCGGGGCAACTGGTGCTGGCAGCACCGTGGGTGGCACTGGGCCCGGGGACCATCACTACGACACTGCATTCGATCCTTTGGACATGTGCGGCGGGTCCGGTGGGTTGTGCCCCGCAGGGGCCCTGGACGGATCCGTTGACCACGGGAATCCGTACAGTCTCAGTTTCGGCAACGAATTCAACGTGACGGCGGCCTACGAAACGGCGTCCGGAGCCGGATCAACGCTGAAGCACCATTTACACCTTCACCATCCCGTCGTTGTAGGCGGTACCTCAAACCAGTCCGAGGGAAGCCTAAGCGGGTCGGCGAGCAGCGGGCGCGGATCCGCCGAAGAGGGTGACGGGGATCCGGAGGACGCCGAAATCCGCATGATTAACGAAGGTCCGCTACGACTTTCAATGCCCGACTCGGGACTCCACGAAGAGGACAACATGTCTGACACGTCTGCCCAGAATACTCAGGTGCGTCTGGCATATACAGTACAATTCGGGTTATTACAGGAGTGAGTGACTGCGTGCATGGTAACGTTTCCCCGAATTGTGTCGAAAAGTTTCGCATGGCGATCGAGGAACGCTTGCTACGTCCTTTTGACTGTACTGTCCTAATTATTTGGTGATTGTTTCTGGATTGTAGGAATATCTGGCGAGATTGGGTATCGTGGAGAACAGTGCTCAGGGATCAGAGCATGGAGGCCGGAAACTCAGCGACGACCCGCTAGACCAGAGCTTGGAGCACATGTATGACAACGGCGTCAGCGGGTCGGATCATCACCCAGACATCTCGCAGGTACAGAGCTTTCGGTCGTTGGAAAGCAAATTTATTACATGATGAAGTTAAAGACACGCACAAAGAAAGGGAGAACATTATAATACTGTAATGATGATGTTGATTGAGGCTTCATTTCTGGGATCACAGTTGCTGGGAGGACCGCGGGGCACCAGCGGGAATGCAAGCGGGAATGTGAGCGTGAGCGGCAGTCAGTCGGGCGTTGTTGGAATCGGCGGCAGCGTGCCTGTGGGACAGCCATCCATGACGGGCTCACTTTCGTCCATCGTGCACAGCGAAGAGGAGCTGACGGGTTCGTATAACTGGGATTACTTGCTGGACTGGGGTCCACAGTACCAGCCTCTGGCGCACGTGTTCTCCGAGATCGCCCGCCTCAAGGACGACTCAGTCCCCGCGTCTTCTGGGGTGAACGGGGGATCAGGAGCTGCGTATGGAGCAGGGCCGGCAGGGGCTGCTCCTCCGCCCCCACCGCCGCCATTGTTGACGTGTGTAGCGCCGCCGTCTGCAGCTCGGGCGGCTCAGGTCCTCCCGCCCATGGCCCGCTCACCCATCCACATTGACGACTCGAATTTGAACGCGGCGGCCCTGTCGCCAAGTTTCTCACCGGCCTTGTCCCCGCTGGCAACCAGATCTCCGTCCATTTCACCGCTGGCAGGACCGTCGCCGTCCGCTACCGCCTCCGTTGCCCGCCAGCGCCAACTCCAACTTCAGAGACAACAGCAGCAGCGGTATCACCATACCACGACGCTTCCGCGTGAGCCCGAGTTTCGGATCTGATCAACACGCCCTGCATGATGGTCGTTCTCCGAAGGAAGACGACGAGGAAATATATATTTTTATTTTTGAGGATTCATGAAATCGTGAGTGAGAGGAATACTGTGCATGCATGAGATGGAATGGAATCATTCCTCCGCGCAGAATCGACGCATTCCGCAAGTTTTCCCAATGTGAGCGGATTGTTGTTGTTTTTTATTGTTTTTTTCTCCTGCTGCCGCATCCGTACTTGGCGCAGTTCGCGGGGTTCTGTGCGAGTCTCATATCCGTCTGCTGAGCAACACTTGCCGGGGTTCGTGCGTCGTGGGAAGGGTTGGTTCTCACGTTTTTGATAAATTTTTGAACGACGACTTGTTGACTGTGGGATTGGAAAAACAGGACGTCAGCCTCGCTGGAATGCTGACGATTGTCGAGATCTTCCGTCATTTCCGATGCACATTGCCTTGAAAGACTAGACAGATGTTGAGTGCTGGTTTCGTGATGGCCGATGTCGTTGGTGTCGCCTTATTTTTAATTTTTTGAGGGCGTGAATGAGAAGAATAGTGTTTGATGCTCTCGCTTGCAAGAAGAGATGGCTGTGAAAGCCTTGCAAGCAATTGGAAAGTCTCGTGTGCCTTCGCGTTTATATTCCGTGCATTTTTGCTCACCTGCTCGTGGAATCATCCGTCCGAGACGTTTTCTCAGTCCTTTTGAAGATTTTTTGTGTGTGTTTGGTTATTTGTTTTGATGGGTCTTGCTGCTTGGAATGAGAAGTGAGTGATGACCCAAGTGTGATACTTGATACAGTTGCCAAACGTCTTCACTTGACAGCGCTCCCATGGAAGTCTTCAGCGGAGCGTCGCGACCCGTAGCGAGTCTCCCAAGTTTCGTGGTTTCACTCGCTTTCAGCTTTTCGGTTGAAATCCTGATCTCGCTGTTCCGCCATTACTTTTGGAATCGTGGATGCCGTCCTTCGACACATTTACAGGCTGTTGAAGCGCTATATTCTCCGTTGCTCGCGTGTTTAGTGGAAGAATTTTTGCAAGGGCAGGATTCAAAGCTCTGTGAATTTCATAAAGTACTTCGTAACGTGATCAAGATGCTCTGAGGTAACCGTGAAGAAGAGACGGGCGAAAGATGCTGAGGTCGAAGGGTAGGGTAGCCTGTGCAACGCGTAGTGCCGCTGTTTGAATCTTGTTGCCATAACTCGTGCCTTGGTTTGTCATGCTAGTAACACAAGTGCCGTGATGCCTGTCAGTTCGTTCACGTCGTGCCTCGCAGTATCCGCCGCCGTTGTATAGGACGACTCGATCATTGTTATTATTATTGCAATTTTGTGGACTCGGTTCTGGATCTACAGACTGTAAATCTTGTTTTTGCGCGAAGGTTTCCGACTTGGCGGAATTAAAACAAATGTTTTGGATATCAAAATCAACTGCGGGACCTTTTCTTTTGACGCTAACTGAGTGCTGCCCAGGGTTGTTAATTGTGCCACAATCCTGTTCAATCGGAAGCACAATCGAAATTGCAATGCTTGCCATTACAAAAATGGCAAGCATTCTCAGAACACCGCCATTTATATATTTGCCATTTATATGCTTGCATATAAAAATCTCTAAAAAACACTTAGATTTTGATTGTGCATTCAATTTTTTGACACTTGCAATTGTGCAAAAAGCAATTGAATCAAAATTGCAATTCTTCCTTTAATTTCTGTGATGTGATTTATTAATAATCCTACAGTAAAAAGTGTTCGGAATGGAAAAAAAATCAGTTTGTTCCCAAATTCTAAAGAATTTTGTTCTTCTAAACTTCTGAAAGTTCTCATTTTTTTGAAAGAGCTATAGTATTCCTTCATTGATAATTCTTGATACAGCAGAATTCTGTTACAATGAATATTATTATGACAAATTTTTCATGAAACAAATTTTTTGAGGGTCCTGGCAGTTTCCCATAGGCGTAATGTTATAAAAATTTTGTTGATGGCACCGTGCAGAACAAACACTTTGCAAAATGAACATTCTGCAGAACAAATGTTTTTTCTGTGCCAAAAATCCATTTTTTTAACCCCCTCAGTACAAACGAATTTTGTGCTATGAACAAGGGTGAATTCAGTAAGGCTCTCCCTTACAGCAACATCTATCCAAGCATGAGGGAACCTTGTGTCATCCAAGGGACCCCTCTGCATCACCCGGACTTCCAGATAGGTGGACCAGAGGAGAGGTGGAACCAGGGGGGGCATTCTGCTCCTAGATCTCAACCTGAGCACTTCTTCTTGTTTTACTGTGTGACTTAGTGACTCTTATATGTTGTGGTGAAATCAATACAACCAATTTTACATTGTGGCAAGGAGGCAAGGACATTTATTTCTGACAATCTCTTATTATTCACACCCTTCTTTGTAGTACAAACTTTTTACTACTAACAAGTTTTTGTTGTTTGTAGTACAAAAAATTTCTATATTCTGAGACAATTGTCTCAGAACACAGAAACTTTTCAGAATACAGACATTTATGTGTTTTGAGACAATTGTCTCAGAACACAGACAATTGTCTCAGTTACCTAATTCATCACATCTGATGACAGTCATTGGACTGTCCTCACATGAACAAATTTGCAATGAAATTTGTTGTGAAACTTGTTCACAAATTTCATGAAAATTCCTGTGTTCTGAGACAATTGTCTCAGAACACAGCAATTTTTTCATGTGAAAAAACAAAACAGAAATCTGTGTTCTGAGAATTTTTTCTGAGAACCCAGAAATTTTTTTATTTGACAAATTTCAAAAAACAAAAAAATTTTGTGTTCTCAGAGAAATTTATCCAAACACAGACATTTTTTTGTGACAATATCATGAAGATTTCTGTGTTCACAGAAATTCCTGTGTTCTGAAAAATTTCTGTGTTGAGACAATTGTCTCAGAAAACAGCAATTTTTCAGAACACAGAAATTTATTTGTTCTGAACACAGAAATATTTATGGAATTTTTTGCACAAAAAAATTTCAGTGTTTTGAGAAATTTTTCTGAGAACACATAAATTTTTTCATGACAAATTTCATGAAAACTTGTGTTCACAGAAATTTATGTGTTCTGAAAAATGTCTGTGTTGAGACAATTGTCTAAGAACACAGCAATTTTCAGAACACCAAAATTTCTGTTTTCTGAGATGATAGTCTCAGAAAACAGACATTTTCATGAAATTTGTCACTTGAAAAATTTGTGTTCTCAGAAAAATTTGTGTTCTCAGAAAAATTTGTGTTCTCAGAAAAATTTGTCAGAACACAGAAATTTCTGTGTTCTGAAAACAGAAATTGTCCAGAAATGTGGAAGACAACTGAGTGAGAAAAGTGAAAACTATCGCAAAAAAGTCTGAGTGACAATCAAGTTCTAAGTGATCTTGCCAACGGTTCTTAGTGAGCCTGAAACAAAAAAGCCTTAGCTGCTGAAAAAAGGCACGTCTGTGTGAGTGCTAAAAAAGGATTTGCCTTAGTGGCTACAAACAAGCACCTCTGTGTGAGTGCTAAAAAATTCTAAGTGGATTTCTGCCTAAGTGGCGAAGAGCATATCTGTGTGAATGCTAAGTGCTTGAAAATGTGAAGGACGGTGTCAGAAATCAAAAAAGGTGACAACCACCTTGAGAGCAGACTTCACCAATGGAAGCTTTGACTCAAAAGGACCACAGGTTTTTATATTCTATATCCAAAAGATAGAAAAAGCAAAAAAACAAAAGAGAAGTAAGTAAGTGAATTGCTGAGAGTGAAAATGATTCGTAAACCATTCTCATAAAAAGTGTAAGTGAGTAATACATGTCTAATAAAAAGGAAGAAACTTCAAGTGTACATAACTCTAATACTCCCATAAAAACTAGTACGCAAAAGGCCACCAAATACAATTGTAACTTAATGGAGAAATTATTTGCTAGTGCTTATGGACCAAATAACCAAAATCAAGGAGAACGCATATCAACAACAACCAACTCTCCTACTTACATACAATTAGCGCAACCAACAGACTTTGAAACACCGGAAGAAACCCAAGATAGGTTAAGCAGGGATCCTCAGGGACTGAACAACGAATAATCTGTAAAGTTAATTATTTTAGTTAAAAGGTAAAGCTATGGCTGTGCCAGGAGCTGAAGCGTCAGGAGATCTTATTCCCCTTGCTGAAAATAATCCAACTCCTATACAACCCACTTAAATTCCTTCAAAAATCCCCAAGAGTGCTCAAATCACGCAAGATTTACTCTCTTCTTTAGGAACAACTCAAGACCCTAAACCATCAACCTCTTTTCAAGCTTCTGGTATTGTTTCAGAGAATTACCAAGCTAATAACCTTCCTGCCAAATATTTAACTTTTACACCTCAAGAACAGGCTGCATATTTGCAAAGAACAATTAACAAGACACGCAAAAATATTATTAAATATAGAAATGAACTCCCTAATGCTAGTGCTAAAAGAGCAGATGCCATAAGACACCAAATCATTCAATTTGAATCTAACATCAAAGACCTATTGGATATGGAAAAAAGATATTCAAGATAATTTAAAAATTATTGCTGATGCCCAAAAGGCATTAACAGAGAAAAATAATATTCTGGTGTCTAGAATGTTACAACAGCAAGCTGCAGAGAGAACTATGAAACTGAACAAATCCAGTGAGATTAGGAAATCAGTACTTTCCAATACTTCAATGGGAACTCTAGAAACTCCCATGCCCAAAGAAATGGTAATATGGAATCAAATGCAAGGACGGGCCTCTATAGCTAGTAATCCTCAGACCACTAATGCCTTCATTAATAACATGCCATGCTTCTCAGGAGAATGTTACTCCATATCATGGAACTCTTGGTATTCATGTTTCTTCGTAACAGTAAATTCTAACCCATTCAATGATGGACAGATAAAAAATCTGTTGATGTCTAAACTTGAAGGAAAAGCCCAGAAATTAATCGAAGCAGACAGAGATTTATTCTACAAACCATACCATGTAATAATTAAATTCTTAAGAAAAATTTACGATACAGATGATTTAACTGATGGCCTTGCAGCTCTGGATTACATTAAACAGGAGGAAAATGAAAATGTGAGAGATTTTGCATTAAGATTGGATTTGGCTTCTTCAAAATTAGACGCTGAGCATACCCCTGAAATTAAAGTCTTCCGACAAGATGGTATGATAACTTTAATTGCAAACCCCATGTACAAACAAGAAGAGATTTGTGCTCAATGTTGTAGCTCGTTTCTAGCAGAAATAAAATTAAATAAGTTCATTAAAGGTCTGTTGCCCATTATACAGAAAAGAATTTCTGATGTCCCAGATACGTATAAAGAAGCAGTCAAAAAGGCAAGGAAAGCCAGAAAAATTCTTATAATGACAGGCGAAGTTTCTTATGCTTGTGAAACTTTTGCTATTTCCGCCAATTCCAGTAAAACTCATTCTCAACAAAATAACCCAAAGAGAAATATTTCTGGTAAAAGTAATCCCGTTCCATTAAGCTCTCAAATGTGTCATGCCTGCAGAAAATACAGTCATTATGCTGTGGACTGTACAGGTAATATAAATCCCCAGCAGCAAAACCGAACTCAATATAATAATAGGCCAATAGTGACCAACCAAAATTACCAAAATTATCAGCAGGTTTACCCTCCTCCTCCTCCGCGCATACCCTATCGTCAAGTAGATGGAAGAATGTGTGCTCCATGGATGAATTGACGTACTCCGGGTCATTCACCTATTCAACCAGCACAAATGGCGTCCAGGCAACAAAATAGGCCCCAAGGGCATTCAACCCAAAATAGTAATGTGGGACGCCCCCCTGCTTGTGGGTATCCTTCTCTTAGAAGAGTTACCCCAATGCAATCAGGCCGCCCAGCTGGTAGGAGAGGAGGACCAGTAAGAAGAAATAATAATATTACTGTACCAAATGACGATTTTGGAGAGTACTCTGAATTTAACAATCATTCGTATAATGCAATTGAAAATTGTCTTCTATCAGAGGAATATCCTCCCAAAGAGATAGAATATCTAAATCCAGAAGATCAATACTATCAAGGGTACTATCCAGACAAGGAAGATAATAATTATGGTGAATATGTTGAATATAGCTATCCCAACAACACTTCCAAACAATATGAAGATCCTTATGAAGTAGAATGCAACAACGTGCAAGAAAGCAGTCAGGGGAACAATTACTAATCGGTAGCGCAAAAGTTTCGCGACTTCCGGTGATACCTGTCTCTTTCAAAAATAACAATGCTGAAGTTAAACTATTAATAGATACTGGATCAGAAATATCTCTTTTAGACAATTCTTCAAACACTGACGCTATCTCTCATAGTAATATAGTAATTAATACGTTAAAAGGTAACAGTATCCCTGTTTTAGGAAAAATAAATAAATCAATTATTTACAATAATCATATGGTCAACACTTG